CCCTCATAAAAGCCTTTTACATCTGTCCCCCTAGGGCTGCTTCAGGCTCTCTGGCTGAAATCTGATAAGGGGCCTCTTTGTTGCAACTGTCAGTCTCCTTTATTGAGAAGGGAACTAGAGACCAGTGGCATTTCTTGGGGTACAGATAAGGCCCTGGATTCCTGTCAGGGAGAGCATGATTAATTACCCTCAATCGTGGCTCCTGCTTTGATAGCAGTGACTGACAGTCTACAGGCTTCCCCATCAGGTGCTCCCCCCACTTGGGGAGGCATGATAGTGGCAGAGATTCGGTCTCCTGCAGGGCCTCCACCAGTGACCCACAAAGAGCACTCTTCAGAGGGTGTTTGCCTCCTTCCTCTGTGGTTGCTTTTGCATTCATTGTGGACAGACGTCTGTCCCTCTTAGGTGAAGAGCCTCCTTAGAGAAAGAAATAATACAGCCTAGAGAGCAGGCCAGAGACCCCTCGCCCCCTTCCCTGAAAGGCTGGAGAAGGAGCCATTGCTTGTGGACTTGAACTTCATAGACCTGGTCTTAAGCCACACAGGGGCCCTTCGCAGGAGAAGATCCCAAACCATTTGTTTGAAGGCCGCTTGGCAACCTTATTTCATAATTCAGACAAGCTCTTAAAAACAGGTCACCCTCCCTTTGGTAATAGTCACAACTACCAATTTTTGTATTAATTTTTTTATTTGTAGACTCATAGACTTTAGAACTGAAAGCCATTTAGTCTAATTATTTTACAGATAGGGAAACCGAGGCCTGAATTGTCCATCCCCCATGCCCACTCCCCAGTATTTTCTATTGCTTCTCATTCAGGCAGGTAAATGCAGCTAAAAAGCCTTCTCCCCCCATCTCTTTCTTTTTTTAATTCTTTTTGGCAGCTGGCCTGTTCTGGGACCTGAATCCTTGACCTAGGTGTTACAACACTCTAACCACACTCTAACCAACTGAGCTAGTTGGCCGCCCCCTCCCCACTTTTCTTCCACAGAGATTCTCCTTTGGACAAGGGAAATGGCTACCAGGCTCATTAAGCAGCATAAAACAAACTGCCAAGACAGACCAACTTGAGGATTCTGCCTCTCTTACTTGTCAGAGGAATTGAAGCCAGGGCAGGTTTTTGTGTCCAGATCATCTGGATAACATGAGAAAACCACACCATTATGTAGAGCTAGCCCTAATAGCCTCAGGTGTGTTCCTACAGGACTGAGGGATCAGCCTACACAAGAGCCACCTTTAACGGTTTCACAGAGAACCAACCACAGGGGAGAAAGCACCTGATCTCCATATCGACCTGATCTGTGGAACCAGGGTGCCTGGCTAGGCCACGTGCGTCTGTATGAGGAGAGCCCACTCTGGGGCGAGGGAAAGCAGGATCCCCGGGACGCCCACGATGGGGCTGGCACAGAGCAGGGGCCACCAGCAGGGTTGCCAGTGCACCTCTTGCCTGCAGTTGCTCTGTGGTGTGAGGGCGGCTGTGCCGCCCTTTGGAGGTGCTGGGAGGAGGTCACTTACTGGTTAGGTTGCAGCCTCGACTTCAGACGCCGCTCTTGCCCATCCTCGCCTTCTCAGGTCCTGTACGTACCGCTGTCTCTCTGGCCCTAGGCAGTTCTCAAACACAGTCACACTCTGCGTCTATACAGAGGCTAATTTTTTAATGAAGTTTCTACATATGTAGTAATGTTGTCCTTCAAAGAAGCCATCTCAAATGGCTTAGCATTTAGTCCAGTGACTACTCAGAATGAATTTGTAATTCCTCTTGTGGGAGTTGCCTTCAGAGGCAGTGTGAGCCACACTTGCAAATCTGACATGATTTATGTCCATACCTCCTATTCAATCAGAAACAGTATGAACAGCCTAGTCCCTTCATCCTCTTCATTTGGCTTGCCGCCAAATGAATGATGACCATTTTTTTTCTTTTCTTTTCTTTTTTTGGTAGCTGGCTGTTACAGGAATCCAGACCCTTGACCTGGTGTTATAACACCAACTGTGATCTAACCAGCCAGACCTTGATGACTATTTCTAAAAGTAAAATGCATTCTCTATGTTTGAAGACTTACCACCATTGAAGAGATTTAGAAGAAAATAGTGTGGGCTCTGAATGCTGTTTACAAATGAGTTCCAAAGCCATGTAGTATCTGGCTCTCCGAGGTGACCTGGAAGGCAGCACTTCCTCAGCTGGACAAGCTCCACCATGCTGGTTACACACTCAGTCACATCTGCTCTGTGTACACCACGCACCCGGCCACCTTCTGCTCTTTAGCACCTGTTTCTACCTCCTTCCCTTTGGCCCTACTGTATGAGTAACGGTTTCTTTACCTTCTCAGAATCCCCAACTCTCCATTCATTCACCTCCTGTTTCTAGTCCTGTTACTGTGGGACCCAGGAGCAAAGAGGTAAACCACTCTAGGCCTCAGTTTCCTCCATCTATTTAACAAGGGTCATGACCCTAATGACCCATGCTAGGACTGGAGAGGAGGTGACTTCTGTTCAGGGCTATCAGCATTAGACACTTAAAGCTATTGATGGTGGGGCTGGCCCGGTGGCGCACTGCTACAGTGCGCCGCTTGTGAAGTGCGGCGGCGCTCCCGCCGAGGGTTCGGATCCCACATATAGACCGGCCGCTCACTGGCTGAGCGAGGAGCGGGGGCAACACCGAGGGTTGCGATCCCGTTGCCGGTCCCGGTCCGGTACGGGCACGACACTGAGGGTTGCGATCCGTTGCCGGTCACGAAAAAAGACAAAAAGGAAAAAAAGAAAAAGAAAATTCTTCCCGGAGGGAGTGGACATTGAAGGACAGTGGAGAATTTGAGTGGAGGCAGGTCATTTTAGGCTGGAGGAGGGAAAGTACAGTAGAGGCAGAAATGAGCTGGGTAGTGAGAAGGCCCAACTCACTGGGGTGAGAGTGAGTTGTAGGGATGTGCTCGGGACACTTCATATGTGATCTTTCAAGGGAGTGTTGAGGGACATGGGTCGTGTGATTGGATGCATGGAATGGGATAGGAAAGCATTAAGAGGCTTTGTGGGTTTCTAAACAAGGAGGTGAGTACTGTGGTGAAAGTAATATTTTACTGAGACTGTCTGGCAGCGGTGTGCAGGTCGCAGCCATTTGATTGTGAACCCACGAGGGCCTGGTCCAGGGTGGTGGCGACAGGCCGGAAAGGAAGATGCCTTCTACCTCAAAGGAAGAGTCGGCGGGACATCCTAACAACCTAAACGTGGGTGATAAGAAGAGAAGAGGAGCCAGGACTGACTCTGTTGATGGTGGTCCTGGAAAAATGGAAGTGATGGGGAAAGGAAGCTAGTCTATAGGATGGTGGTGAGCTCAGGGTGAACATTCTGACTTGGAAGTGAACAGGTCACACATGTGAAGGTGCCCTGGGAATGCCTGGAAATGTGAACTTAGGGGGACTATGCGAGGGGACCTTGGGAGCAGTCCTTCCAGACTCTCTAGGTGATGCTGTGGAAAGTGTGAACTTGCCAAGGCCAGGAGTGTGCTCAGGCAGACGGCCCTCCCAGAGGAGGTCGACATTAGCCCTGTCCTGCCAGGGGAGCAGTTCTGCTGCATCAGGCTTTTGTCTTTATGGTGAGAATAAGGTCTACTGTCCAGAACAGCACAGAGAGAAGTTAACCAACATATGAGCTGTCTGTCATGGGAGTCGAACAATAGTCCTGATATTTTACTTACGAAGTTTTGAATCTAACTCCATGACCCCTCTGTCCTTGACCCTCCAAAGACCAGCTGGTCAGGACAAAGGTCTCCAAGGTTGGCACCTCCCTCCCTTTATTAGAAAAAAGGCCTGGTCCTGCCACAGTAGTCCCACATGTCCTTGTTCATGGTGTTTCCCTTTGATAAATGTGGGGCCCTTCACTCCATTCTCTGGCTTCAATTATCTGGCCTGAGTTGTGAGGCTGACATTCAGGGCTGAGAAGAAAACTGCTGTTCCTTTAGGGATTTAGGGAAAGAAGCGGGAGGAGCAGAAGCTAACAGTTCTTGTCTCAAGCTGGCCTGATGTCCACTAGGCAGCTCAGTGAGATTGGGATAGCAGGAGGGGGCAAGGCGGAGGAGCAGCAGCCTGCATACAGTAGAAGGAGTTTGCCATCAAAAGGCAACAAGTCTCAAACCCTGCCCGGGACGGTGACCCTTCCCTGTGGAATTCTCCCCTCTGACCTCCAGATCATTAATCCTGAGGCTGCCAAATGACAGTCATCCATCACGCCTCCTGACGAGTATCCCAGCCCCAGCCGGCTGTGAAAGGACCCTGGTCCCGCCCCCCTTTAACATCCCCTGGTGCTCATTAGTAGACCTTCCTGCTCGGTGCCAGGTTTCCTAATCAAGTCCCTGACTCCTCTCATTTCCCCTTGAGGCCAGTGGGAGGAAGCTGCTCTGACGCTCCCTCTTTTAGAAGCCAGGGAGGGGGTGGAGTGATTAGTGTGGGGAGAATTGTTGAGTGGCTTTTCATTCCCCTGGAGACCTGTGTGTCCAGCAGCTCCTTTGACATGGCAGGGCACACAGGAGAGAAAGAAACAGTTTCTCCATCCTGCAGCAGGAGAGGAGAAAGCAGGCAGTGTACAGGTGAGCACACTACTACAAACTGCACTGAGAGTCACCAGAGAGAATGGAGTCTGATAGCACCAGAGGACTGTAAGTTGCCAAATCATTAGGAGATAATCTGGAATTGTACTGCTAGCAAAAAAAAAAAAAAAAAAAAAGAGCCACCTTTGCAATTATCTAGTCCAGCCCTAAATGAAAAATCAGAAACAGAGAGGTTAAGTGTTTTGCCCAAGGCCACACAGCCTGTGAGTTGGACCTGTCTTGCTCATCTCAAAGAAAACTGACAACTAATCATAGCTTTTAGGTTTAGGGAGTTTGAGTCAAATTACACATCTAAGCAGATTCGTGAGTGTTGTTTCAAACTCAGCTAAAGGTGAGCATACGCAGATGCTTCTTTCTCAGCTTGATGCTGACACAACCCTCTGTTTCTCTCATTGGACAATCACAGGGACCCCCATCAACCGAATTCCTATCATGGCCAAGCAGATCCTGGACCTGTACATGCTGTATAAGCTGGTGACGGAGAAGGGGGGCCTGGTGGAGATCATCAACAAGAAGATCTGGAGGGAGATCACCAAAGGCCTGAACCTACCCACGTCCATCACCAGCGCCGCCTTCACCCTCAGGACCCAGTGAGTGGCCAGAGCCAGGGGAATGAAGCCGAGGCTGGAGAAAAGAGAGGAAGGAAGGAAATTCCACTGTATAGTTAGCAAGATGAGTGGAAATCCTGAAACAGTGGGGAGCTATCTGAGATAAATCCCTTACTGAATCAGGTAATCACAAGAGCCCCCATTTACCTCGTGTCTCCTGTGCTGGTACTTTGTCATTCTGTTTCGTTTAAACCCCGCTGTCATTCCTGTAAAGTAGGTGTGTCTTTGTTTTCCAAATTACAAAAAAAGTCTCCAAGGTTAAATAATTTGGCCAAGTCCATACCAGCCAGTAAGTGGTAGAGCTGAGATTCAAACCTGGGCTTCTGTCTCTAAAATCCACTCTTTCCAGGACATTGTCTCCCAAACAACACCTCCACCCCACGTGGCCCTTTTTACCTGACCTTCAGCTTGCCCAGCAACAGACGACCTGGAGGAAGGCAATCAGTCAGGCCCCATTGGCTTGGTGACCTATTTTTGTCACCATTTGAGTTAATTACAGGGGGATGGAAGCAGTGAAACCAAGGGTAGCACTAGAGAATGAGGGCCAGAGGGCAATCTGTTCTTTCCTACTGCTCTGGAAGTTGCTCTGTGAAGAATATGGAATGAACAGCTGACTCAGTTAGGGAGCATGTTGTGGCCTTGTTGAAAAGTAGAAGGGTTTTGTCTGTCGGAACTATTACAGCAGAAGTTGGGGACAGAGCTGTAACCAGACTAGCAGAGTAGAGAACTGCTTCTTGGGACATATGACACAAAGAAGGACAGCACTTTTAGGTCCCATGCACAGTGAGAACTATTTCTGACTGTCTGACAATGGTTAGGGTATCAAGGAGCCAGAAAGACATTGCAATACATGGGCCTAATTCTCCCAGGTACTGAAAAGGCACCAAAACAAATGTGAAAACATTAGCTAAGATGTTATTCATTTCCCTTAATGAAGGATGCTTCAAATTTGAGCAATGATTAGGACTGAGTAGCAGTTAGAGGAGTCTGGGGCAGTGTCTAGCAATCCCTGACTTGTCTCTTCTGCCAAGTGCACCAGGGTTGCAAACCTTTTCCCTAGGGGCCTGCCCAACAGAAGCTGCTTCCAAGACCCATCAACTTACACCGGGTGTCTCTGGTACTATATTTTGGATGATTCTCCTTGCTTCCTTCCTTTTCTCCAGGTACATGAAGTATCTGTATGCCTATGAGTGTGAGAAGAAAGCCTTAAGCTCCCCAGCCGAGCTCCAGGCAGCCATTGATGGCAACCGGAGGGAGGGCCGGCGGCCCAGCTACAGCTCTTCCCTCTTTGGCTACTCACCCGCTGCTGCTACTGCTGCTGCCGCTGGGGCCCCTGCCCTTCTCTCCCCGCCCAAGATCCGCTTCCCCATCCTCGGGCTTGGCTCCAGCAGTGGCACCAATACCAGTAGCCCTCGGATATCCCCAGCAACCACTCTCAGGAAAGGTCAGCAGGGCCCTTGGGGAAGAAGGGCGAGAAGGGAGAGCAGGAGCCCAGTTTCCCCATGTTCAAGATTGGGGTTCTTGGGTGGGAGGGTCGATTTGGGGATTGGTCCAGTTCCACTTCCTTAACAGGTGATGGAGTCCCAGTGACAACAGTGCCTGTGCCAAATCGCCTGGCTGTGCCCATGCCCTTGGCAGGCCAGCAGGTCAGTACCCGGACTGCCACGCTGGAGCAGCTGCGGGAGCGGCTGGAGTCAGGGGAGCCTCCTGAGAAGAAGGTGTCCAGGCTGTCCGAGGAGGAGCAGCGCCTGGTGCAGCAGGCCTTCCAGCGCAACTTGTTCAGCATGGCGCGGCAGCTGCCCATGAAGATCAGGATCAACGGCAGGGGTGAGCAGGTCCTCCCTTTCCTGATGCTGCCAAACCCCAGTTCCAGTCCAGGCCCATTCACATCTCCTGGTACTGGTGGGAGGGGGGGTGGTAAGGTACACACTCCTGACCTAGAAGGGGCTCCTCCAGGTTCTGCCTTCCAGGCCCCTGGAGAGTCTAGAAGCCAGAGGAGTGCTCCATGGGGTTTCTGTGGCCACTGAGCTCTCAGCTCACCAAGCTGAGGTGGTTTTCTAGGGGACCAGAAATTGCCTCAGGCGGTGCCCTATTTAAGGAGGAGCGAGAGACCTCCAGAGACAGCTGCTGTGTTTCTCTCTTCCCCAGCCTTTTGATCTCTCTAAATTAAAGGGCTCAACCTTCACCCCAGTGCCTCACTGGACATAGGCAAGAGCAGGGCACTGCAGTCAGGTCTGGGAGGAAGACACCCCGTTCCCGAGGCTCAGCGAGGGGGCAGGGTTGCCTCGGCCTGGGCTGGTAGATAGAGCAGGGCTGCCAGGGACACTCAGGAAGAAGAGGAAGGAGGGAGCACAAGGTGGGCAGAACTGCCCAGGTCTCTTAGTGCCCCGCCCTCTCTTCCCGAGCCACACCTCCATTTCCCTTGTTGCTCTTTTCCCCTCTCCCCTCACTCCCATTCTCTGTGCCATTCTTGCCCTTGACTCTGTCTCAAAGCGAATGTGAATAAGCTCATGTTGGGAAGGAGTCAGGTGTGAAGGGAGCTGGTGCGTATTCCCAGGCAGCCCCTCCCCACCCCGCATCCCCAGGGTAAGGAGCGAAAGGAAGCTGGGAGGTACCAGGCTGTTTGGGGCAGGCGCCCTGGTGCTGCACAAAGCCAGAGGCTAGTATAAAAGGCATCTCACCTGGAAGAAGTCTTGGCTCGCTCTGTGGTGAAAGAGCAGAGTCTAGGGTGAGCCAGGCCTAGGCCCCGTGTGCCAGCACCCTCAGCCTTCCACAAATGCCAGCTGCCCAGGTGGGCATGGAGGGCTAGGTGCTGAAAACGTAGACCCCCTCCTTGAGAGCCTCACAGTCAAGGGGGTGAGGGGCAAGGTGCGTCCTCAAAGTCGAGGCTGGGTCTTGTTGAGCTCTTATTTCTTGGGTCTGATGTATAGTTGGTGCTCGGTTAGTGCTTGCCGAATCACATTGACGGTGGCAGTGCGCAGCTGTTGAGCCGGGGTCAGCCTGCTCGCCAACTGCGATCCCTTTTCTCCAAGAGCAGAGGGAGTTGGGGAAATGGACTGGTTTGGGGAGAAAACCAGCAACAAGAAGTTGGCGAGCCTGGGTTCTCCTGCCAGACCGCGCACCCAGGAGGTGGTTACATGGATGCTTTCTAACAGTGGGAGGCCTTGGCCTGGGGTGACCTGGGGTGGCAGCAGAGATGATGACAGGAGAGCTGTGGAAGGCCTGACCAGGCCTGCTTTCCTCTGCAGAAGACAGAGCAGAGGCCTCGGCTGCAGCACTGAACCTGACTACAAGCAGCATCGGGAGCATTAACATGTCTGTGGACATCGACGGCACCACCTACGCAGGTGAGGCCCCAGCGCAGCAGCCAGCCACAGTGCAGCTCCCTGCCCGGTCCTGCCTGTCGCCCTCAGGTCCCAACACCTCCCAGGGGTGGCCTCCTTTTATGTAGTTTCAGGGTTCCAAAGGTAAAAGGATCCTTCTGGACTAGGAGAGGCTGGAGATTGTCAACAGGATAACAGGTCCCCTTCCACTGTGACAGAATCCCTTCACCTAACCCTTTTGGGCCAGGGGCTGGTTCATAAATTGAAATAATCGTTTAATGTGAGGGTGCATAATCAGTGCCACACCTGTGCCCTAAACATCGCATTGTCGGTTAAACCAGCACTCACCACCACGGTCTTCTATGCCCCAGCCTCCTTGCTCTGACTGTGGTTCAGCTGTTTTCTTCCTCTCATAAAACACGCTCCTAGTACATTATGTGTCATCCTCATTCTTTAAAATGGATCAAGGACTGAGACACAGGCAAAGGAGTCTGAGTGTAGCAGAACCAGCCTATATTTTTATGATTTTCCCCAGCCTTTTACAGTTGTCTCTCCCTAAACCTAATTTGGTAACAGTTTTTTGTCTGTTCATTGGTTTAGCACTTAACCAAGTCTTTCCAACGTGTTCAACTTGGTATTCATAGAAACAGCAATCCTTTCCCACTCCCATTTCATTGGTTTAGGGACAAGATTGGGAAGAAATCCAGCCCCCTCTTGTTGAGCACAGCTTGATGAGTGGGGACCACAGGCCTGGGCCAGGACATCGTCCACCTGTTTCACTGAGGGCATGGAGGGTGGTGGCCAGCCTGGCCAGGTGTCCAGTGGAGAGAGTTTAAAGCCCTGCACCTTCCATCAGAATGGGAGGTGTTTCCCCAAGGCTTGCTCCTGTTCTGGGGGCTACACCCCCTCAGTACCACCCTGCAGGCCTCATGGGGACCCCCCTCATTTTCTGGATTATTGCTGGGACACCTGCCACAGGTGTCAAGAGTGGGGCCTGGGAAGGGACAGAGTCCTTGGAAGCAGCCTGCAGGGAAGCAGCAATGCCAGGTTGTCTAGCCAGTCCCCCCCGTTGTCATGCTGTGTCTGCAGACCACATGCAGAAGCCTCTGTCTGACACAGGAGGTCCCTGGAGGAGGTCAAGCCTGGTGTCCTTTGCCTTCTGCTAGTGCTGGGGGTTGGGAGGTTTGGGGGTTTGGATTGGGTCCATGGAGAGAGCAGGGACATAGGAGTTCAGGGCCTGGATCTCAGTATCATCTTGACCTTGGTCCAGGAGAAAGGAGGAGATAATTCTTCCTTCCCTCTCAGAATGGGGAAGGGTCTGAAGTCGAAGGCTCCCCAGCTCCTAGAGAGAGGGGAGCCAGTCACCTGCCCCACCTGCCTTCATCCCCACCCCGTGCTCTTTCTCAGTGGGGATGCAGCTGCCAGGTGAAGAACCTGGAGGTCATTCCGAGAGCTCCCTCACCCCATATTCACCCTCTCAGGGCTAATCTCTCCCCCCCAGCTCTCCTGTCCTCTATTTTCTCCTCTACATCTATTCTCTATATCTATATTATATTTTATCTACATCTGTTGTCTATATCTGTTCTCTATTCTCTCATATATATCTCTCCTGTCCCATATTCCTCCCAACCCACAGGGAGCGTTCTAAAACACAGATCTCGTGATGGCCCTCTCCCACTCAAAACTTTCAGGTCCTCTACGACCCCTGCAGGTGACACCCGAGCTTCCTAAGAGGCACCCAATGCCCCACTGCCCTGCCTCCCACCTCTCCAGCCCCATCTGCTGCTGTAGCAGTGACCCTTGCTGTCAACATCTCTTACTCGGCCCAGACAACCCACATCAGCCCTAGCAGGTTTACACCTCTCACACTGGTCACTTTTCCTTCTTACCACAGCCCAGGCACACTCTTCCCCTGGAGCCTGTCCTGACCAGCCCTCCCTGCCCTCCAGAACCATCTTGGTGTTCCTGGGACATCCATCTCCGAGCATTTATGACATTTCAGCACCATTACTCTGTTTACCTCTCTGTCTCTCTCATCAGCCTGTTAGCATCCAAAGGCAGGATGGAGTCTGGGACTTCTGGTGTCAGTACCTACTACAGTGTCTAGAGCAAAGCCACGCGCAGGGTTAGGCCAGTGGTAAACACCTGCTCAACCAAGTCTGCCCTTCTCCCATCCCCTCCCCCCCCAGGTGTGCTGTTTGCCCAGAAGCCTGTGGTCCACCTCCTGGCAGGGTCAGCTCCACAGAGCGCCGGCAGCAGCAGCAGCAGCAGCTCTCACTGCTCCCCAAGTCCTACCTCATCCCGGGGCACCCCCAGCGCAGAGCCCTCCACCAGCTGGTCCCTCTGATGGGCAGGATCCAGCTTCTCACTCCCCACTCTCCTGCCGAGAGCGAAGGAAGTTGATGCACAGAATTTACCTCATCTCACGGAGCCCACGTCAATCATCATTTGGCCAGACGTTGAGAGTTGGCCATATCCGTCTGTCCAGGCTCCATTCAGGTCCTGCTGTACTCTGGGGGCAGGGAGAGGCTGGAGGGACAGGACAGGGCAGCGTTGTCCAATCAGGGAGTGTCCTGGAGAACTGGGTGGGGTGTGCGGGCATCCAGCTTCCTCCAGGGTTCTCTGGCCACCTCCCATCCTGGGGCACAGTGTATCGACAATCTGTAAGCTGACACGGGGCTGGAGGCCCTCCATTTCCCTTCTCCTTTAATTTATTTCCCTTCTCCTGCTTTCTGCCACGACCCCAGGGTCACGGGTCTCTTCCCCTGCTCAGTCCCTCAACTTGTACTCCCATGTGGGGCTACTCGGAGCCAAGAGCATGCCTTCATGGCCCTTCTCTGCTGAGCGTGGGATGGGGCCCTCCTAGCCCATCTTGCCTACTGTTTGGTTCCAAGGATGTGGGTCCCTCAAATTCAAGTCTGGGATCAATTCTCAGGGCCCCATATCCCGTTTTAATGATCCCAAGAAAGAGCATTGAGGGCAGTCTTTAGGTCCTGGGGCCCACTGGGCATTTGCTAGGGGAAGGCAGAACCTTGGGGCTGCCCAGGCCCTGGCACCCACTTCACCCTGACCCTTTCCTGACCCTCCAAGACCTCATGCTCCCCACTCGCCCTTGTTGGCCAGCTCTCCCAAGAACAGCCCACTTGTCCCTTGCCCCCCCTTCTTCTCATGGGGCCATCTCAGTCCCACCATTCCTAAATGTGCCCATGTCAGGTTCATTGAAATACCTCAGATTTGTAATTGTCAATGTTTGATTCTTCAGGAAGTATTTGCATCTCTGAAATCTTTTTTATATGTGTTTTGCTGACTTTTGTTTTTTTATTTTAAAATTTTTATTGTTGTTGTTGTTGTAGCACCAAAGATATGAAAACAGATCACACCCTAAGCCAAGCAAGTGATTTGGTACCCCAGCCCCTCCCGCCTTCCCTACGGCCCCAGCGAGGAGGCTGGGGAGGCAGGCAGGAGAGATGACTCAGGGATCACTGTGGCAGGAGGAGATGGGTTGGAGAGACCCACTGTCGCCGGTCGGGTCCTGAAGCCGTACCAGTTCTGAAGACGGTCCTTGACCCATTTCCTGCGACACCCCTAACCCCAACTGACCAGGGTGGGGGCAGGACATGCATCTCCTCTTCACTCAACATTTCCAGCTCAGGACATGGGCAGGCCATGGAGGCCTGTTCCTTGCTGGAGGTGGAGCTGCCCCAGGGAATGAGGAGATGCTGAGAGAGCTCTGTCTCTCCCCTTGGACCTTGGGGTAGAGCAGGTTGCTCCTGCATTATAAAGCAAAGGTGATTCTTGCACAAGGCTCACCTCTCAATCACGTAAGCCCCAAAGTGTTAATAGATGCCACCCACTGTGACATCATTGGGCTGTGGCAGTGGGAGACCACGGCACGGCTAACATTCAGTCCTGTCTCGGAAAGGAAAGGGAAATCAGAAGCTTGAGCACAAAACAGATACCTCAGCCTGGTAAGCTGCAGCTCTCCTGGACTGCATCTTCTCCCTCACTCCCCCAGCCCTCCACACACTCACACATGCTCACACTCACGTGCACATGCTCAGGCATGTGCACACAGCCGCACCCACCCTCTTCTGGCTTCAGACACCGTCCCCACCAGGTGAATGCAGGGTGTGGACAGAGATCTGGGATTTCGTGCCAGTGAGGAGCCCAGTTGGCTGGCGCTGGGCCCACTTGAAGGTGTCTCAGACATCTGGCCAGTGTGTCTTTCTCAGGGGTTTGGTCACGAAGGATGGACTCTTCCCACCCAGGGGACACAGGTACTGTGTCTTTCTGGTCACTGGATCCTTTCCCTTTTCCCAGGTAGCTTGCCAGACCTCAACTGCTAAGTGAACCCTCACTGCCCACAAAGAAAACAGCAGGGTCTCAGCCAGAAAGCCTGAGAGTGGGGGTGCCAGCAGATGCCCCCAAGCAGAGCTTTCCCTGAAGGTGCAGTTCTGAAGGCCATGTGGTCAGCAGTTGGCCAGGGCATCTCTGTCCCCTCTCCTCTTTCCATCTTATATGTATTCTAACCAGGAGAAACGTGATATGATAGCACATGGGTAGCCTAGGCAGTGAATAAATACCTCAGACATCCTCTTGCAGCAAGTGTCTGTATATGTTGTGGTTATTTTCTATCTTACATGTTCTCGAATGTTTCTATTTGAATAAACCTCTACCTCTTCACACAAGCAGGTCTCTCTCAGTTGCTTTGAGTAACTCTTCCATTGGAAAGTCCTTCAGATTGGACAAGATCCTTCAGAGTAAAAAGAGACTGAATTAGGACTGGCTGGTTAGCTCAGTTGGTTACAATGCCACCGTGCAACACCAAGGTCAAGGGTTCAGATCCCTGTACTGGCCAGCCACCAAAAAAAATTAAAATTAAAAAATGAAAAGGGACTGAATTAATTGCTCTTCTAATCCACTGATTTCTCCTTAACCTTCTCATCTTTACTGCTTACCCATCCTTTCCCCAAAGCACTCACACTCCACTTATCTTCTGTATTAGCAGGGCACTCTGGCATTGCCTGATCAGCACAGCTGATTCCAGTGGTGTCACATCAGTGTTCTGGCAGGCACAGGGCCAGGGGATTGCCTTCTTGGTTTAGCAAGCCCTTGTTGAGTTCCTGCTGGGTCAGACGCTATGGGAGGAGACACAGGCTATGTAGATAGAGACTGGTTCTTTAGATAGAGCATGACTGAGATTCTAAACAGTAGGTTACTGGTGGGCTGATTGAACCTGGAGCAGCTCACTCAGGAATCTCTGGAGGGCTTCCCAAAGGTGGTGACACTAAAGCTGGAAGAGTCAGATTTTGCTTGCTGGAGACTGTAAAGGAAGAGCATTTCCAGCAGAGGGACTGATACACATGCAAATTTAGTGGCATCAAAGGACCAGGCCTTGGGAAACTGTGGCCAGTGCTGAGGGGAGGGGAATTGGGAAAAAGTACGGCTGGGGCCTGGGTCCCAGGCTAAGGGATTTGGGTGCCATCCTCTGAACATCAGAGGATGTGTTTTAACCAGGGCATAGGCTGAGAGGTTTTTCTATAAGGGTGACTTGAAGCTGGGCGACATGCTGGGTGGGACACTGCCTGTGGAGCTGAGGCCTAGACCAAGTGCTCAGCCTTTCCCTCTGCCATGATGCACACTCGTGTGGGCACAGCCTGAAGAAACGCAGAGAGGCAAAGCCCTGGGTGGATGGCTAGTTACCTCCTCCATCCGTGATGACATACACCGCACCCATTCCTGCAACCCTCTGAGGCGGGCTAGCAGGGACTGCTTTCTCTGCCATTTTGAAGTACTAGAAAATGAGGGTGACATTGTGACAGTCTTGAGCCTCTCAAGCTGATTTTTAATCTTTTGAAAGAAATGACCGACACTTCAGTACTTCAGTTACTGGTATCCAATCATTGGTATCACACCTCACAACTTCCTGTGCCACGAGATTAAATGGGCCTATTTAGGAGAAAGCTGAGAGATAAGAAGCAGAGGCAGGGGCCAGAAACATTTGAGATGGAAACAGGACACACTGACGGGAGGGTGGAGGACACTGGGGTGCCCAGGGGAAGTGGCAGCGAGGCAACTGGTCAAGATGGAGAATCCAGGAAGAACAAGGCACCAGGACTGCAATTCCATTCCATTTCAATTCAACAAAGAAAAGACAGAAGAAAATCTTGACTTTGAGAAAAGGAAGAATTTCTCAAGCTAAACCCCTTGCCTCCCCCCCAAAAAAATGTTTTTCAAAATGTATCATAAAGTAAACTGGCAGGTTCAGATCCCCATACCAGCCAGCTGCCAAAAAATAAAAAATAAAAAATAAACTTGGAGAAAAGACAAACTGGGAGAAGAGACTTGCAATACGTAACTAACAAAGGAGTGGTAGCCAGAACAGATTTATTTTTTATTCTTATCAACTCAAGACAAAAAGCGAAAAGAAGGATTGGGGAGAGGAGGCAAAGTCACATCGGGTGTTTGGCAGAAAAGGAAATACAAATGGTTAGACCTCACTAGTAATCAGGGAAAGCACAAGAAACCATTTGACACCATCAGATTGGCACAAACTTTTAAATCATACAATACCAGGTCCTGGTGAGGATGAAGAGCATTGCAGGGTGACTGTAAATTGGTCTAACCAGTTCGGAAGCCTCCTTGGCATTCCTAATAAAGCTTAACATGCTCTTGCCCTAGGGCCCTGTAATTTCACTCCTAATTTTTGTGCTCCAGGAGATGGATAGAAAGATTCACACAGCACGATGGTAATAACTTGGCTGTGAAACTACCAATTATTGAAACTGGTGAGGGCTAGGTGCTGTTCTCAGTTCTTTACACGAATTAACTCATTTAATCCTGTACATGCGACTATTATTACTCCCTTTTTGCAGATGAGGAAATGAGACAGAGAGGTTGAGCAACTAGCCTGAGGTCCCACAGCGAGTGAGCAGAGGAGCCAGAGTTCTAGTTCAGTGGCTGCAGAGCCCAGAGTGTGTGCTAACCACTCCACACACATTATTTCATGGAATACTCCACCCACAGGCCTATGAGGCGGTTATTTTGTTGCAGATGAAGAAACTGGAGAGCAGAAATGTGCTCGAGGTCACATATCTAGTGAATGGCAGCTGGGAGTGGACTCCAGAGCAGCTGCCATTAACCTCTCCACATGTTCTCCCTTCAGGGAGGGGAAGGGACGAGCCCGAGCGGTGACCAAGGGAGGCAGAGGATCGAAGGGTGGCAGTCCTCGGATCTCGCTCTGCCGCGGGGCGCCCAGCCGGGGGTCACCCGGGCGGCCTCTGTCAGACGAAAGAGCAGCTTTCCCGGCTACACGCAGCCGACCACCCCCCACCCCCGCTCATTGGCCAGGATTGAGACACGTGCCCCCCAGAGCCAATGGGGGCGAGGGGGCTGGATGACTAGGAACGGACCGCAAAGCGCAGAGAGGGAGAGACCCCCAGAAAGGCTGCGCTTCGGCACGCAGGGCAGGAGCGCACGTGGGCCCCTGTGAAGCGGGAGTGGAAATCACCGCCGAGAAGGAAAGGGGAAGTGGTGGCGGAGGGGCTTATGAAAGAGCTTGGAATCACCGCTGGAGAGAAGGGGAGAAGGAACCAAGCGGGAATGGGAAGAGGGGTGGGGGCTGCGGAGCGCAGAGAGTGGGCGCAGACCCGGCAGATACGGGGCAGACCAGACGGCCAAGCGGCGCTGCGGTGGGCGGCTTGGCCAGCCGGTGGCGCTCTCCTCGCGGGATGGGGCGGGCCTGGCTGTGCCAGGCAAACAGCTGCGCTGGGAGCAGGGCAGGGGGCTGAGGGTGGATGCCCGGGCCTCCGGGAGGACAGGAGTCTAGTTTGGAGCAGTACCCGGGATGTTTGCTTGGCAAGGGCTCTTTGTGAGCAAGTAACCAAAGCCACTGAGGCCGGTGTAAGCAGAGCAGAGAGGGATTTATTCTTGGACCCCTGGGACCTTGTGCTGACCCCAGGAAGGGCCCAGAGCCTAGGAGCTCTGCCCATGGAAGGTGTTCCTCTCCCTCTGAAGACCACCCCAAAGGTCAACTTTATGTCTTCTCCATGCGTTAGACCCCCTGGGCTGAACTAAAATCTCTCCATCACAATACCAGTTTCTGGGAATTGGCTCCATTCGCTCTCACTGCAATCCAGCTTTTTCCACATGGTAAAAAACAGGGCAGCTGACGGTTCCCAAGTTTTATGTGTCCAGTCTTCAGCCCTGGAGGGACTACTGTTTTGCTCCAAGTCCAGTGATCCAGGAAGGGGCCCACTTGTACAGTTTGGCTCAGTACCCAGCCCAGGATCAACCATTCAAGGTTGGAGTGGAGTCATGGAACAACTCCACAGAGAATGATGCTGGGTCCTGAGAGGTTCTGGCCCTGCTCTGTGAAAGTCTGTTTCAGCTGAGGAGTAGATGGAGGGAGGGCTCTGTGACAGAGATCTGTGGAAGAAGGAACACACAGCAGGGCGGGGAAGAGGGCTCAGAGGAAGAACGGCCAGATAACATGAGGGGGTGCCACTCCCAAGCCAGCCTTGCTTGTGGGCTGTTAAGGATGGTCATGCTGTCAAGCTCAGAATGTGTCATGCAAAATGAGAAACCACCTTTCTGGAACACGTTAGGGGACCAGTGGACTTAGCTGTGTTTTGCTGTGTGACCTAGGGCCCTTCTCTGGGCAGTTTCCTTGTCTGTGAAATGGGGACTGTAGTGTGATCTGAGCCACAAGTGAATGAAAACTCACTTTGAAATATCTAAAGCCCAGTGCCCAAGGCCTTCACCATTAAGACAGAGGGCCCCTAGTGGGAACTCTCTGCTGGCACTGGGGCAGTAAGTGGGCCAACCAAGCCCGATCAGGTCCCCAGCACCCCACTGGCCACTCCCTGTCCAGCTCTACGCCTAGCTGTAGGGTCCTCTGGGAAAGGGCCAGGTGGCTTATCCCTGAGAGTCAGGAACTCTATCAGCAACATTGTGCCAACATGGGCATTTTGGGCTTCATGGCAGGCAGGAGACAAGGAGAGGTTTCTACCAGGAAGACCTCTGACTGCACCTGCCTATGATCCTGTGCTGCAGGCCTTACAGAGGCCCCAGACTTAGGGGCTGAAGGCCTAGCCACAGGGGCCTCCCCTCTTCTCAGGGAATCCTTGCCCAACCTTGGTTCGCTGAGGCCTCTCAATCCAGCCCTTCTGCCAGGACCACCCAGCTCACTGGGGGGTGGGCAAGGGCCTGACCTCAATCTCTGGTGCTGCAGAGTGAGGCTATGAATCTGCCTTCTGGCAGCTCTGGGCCACAGTCGCTACACCACCTTTTTACCCCAGCCTGGCCACTGTCCCTGGCTTCCAACTTTTCTCAGATGCTTCTCTCCTCTGTGGCTCCAGGGCTGTGGCTGGGATCTGAAGGCAGATGAGACAGAGGCTGACAACACAGAGGCAGAGAGGCAGGCCAGGTACCCAGGCATGGGGTAGCTCTGGTTCTGCTCAGGGAGGGGGAGGCGAGATCAGGAATCTACTTAGGACCAGCAGAGGCCCAAGCTGGAAGGATGCTTTGTGCTATCTGTTTTCCCCTCCAACTTGCAGATGGGAAGACCAAGACACAGACAGGAACTGGGCCTGGGTCCCACAGGGAGGCAGGAGTCACTCCTCCCACCCCTCTAGAGGGTCACCATATGCTGCCTTCAGGGGTTGCAAGGTGGCTGGAGGCTCCTGTC